CCAGCCTGTGTTTGCTTTTTAAATTTGTCATATTAAATACAGCCTTTGTGGCAGGCTTTTACATCCAGGCTGTAAACTCCAGAAAATGGAAATTGATCAGGGGGCGGTTGGTATCACCGAGGCTGTAAATGCTCAGAACGGAGCTGCCATTCCAGTTTAATGCTTTTATCTATCGAATGCGCCTGGTAAGGAGGGGAGCATAAATCTTGCAATTTGGGGGGGTGGGGGTGGGAGCAGGAAGGGGTTCATGGTATAACCTTGCAGCTATGAGTTACCACCAGGTGTCACTGTGAACTGGTGATGCAAGGATACCAGGTCTCCCCAAAGCACTGTCAGTGAAAGAACTTAACAGACAGCAAAGGAGAAAATGGTCTTTGAGGTGTGGAAGAGCCGTGCCCCTGAGGGTACACATGGGACGCCAGAATAGCACGTCCTACCAGGCAGGCCCCCGTCTCAGCCCATTGCAAGTACCAGCTTAGCGGGCTGGCATTCCCAGGTGGCCCTGGAAACCTCGGAGGCCTCTCCCAGCATGCTCTGGGCCCCTCAGGACCTCTCTGCTCATGGGGCTTTAACTCCTGACATGAGAGGCATTTTAGATAGGAGCACCCACCCCCACATCTCTGTGTCTTCCCTCCATGCCAGCGCACACCCAGCCTAGTTAAAGTCCTTGGGCTAGAACCTCCTCCCCAGGCCCGGGTCTTCACAGGGTCTGGCTCTCCGTCTCTGGCAGTCAGGTCTTACATCTCCAGCCAGCCTTTCCACCCTGAGCATAGCACGGGAAGCAAAAAACAAGGTAATTCTTATTTTAAAAAGACAAGACCAGGCCCAACAGGCCTCACTGTAGAGGAACAAGGCCTGTGGGCTCTTGATCCCCACCCCGGCCCAGGCCTCCCCGCACCTGCCAACCCCAGAGCCAGTGTTGCTGCAGGGCCCAGCACGTCATGACCAGCTGGTTCACCTTCTGGTTGTACAGGTACTCGACGCTGTTATTGCTGTAGTCCTTGCTGTGCATGTAGGACTGACTACACACGGGGGCAGCGTGGCTTCCCTCTGCCTATGTTTGATGGCAAGAGGTGCCCGTCGTGTAGTTGGATAAACCAGGGTTCAGGACTTACTAGCTATGTGACCTGGAGGCAAAAGCAAGGCCCCTTTGCCCCTCATTTCTTCCCTTTGTTAACTGGAAAGGTGGTGGCAGCTCCTCACGGAGCTTTGGTGGGAGGGAACGAGTTAGAGGTGTAGGAGCCCACATGGTCACCACTCATCCTTGGGATCAGAGGAGTACCCACTGTAGAGGGAACAAGACAGGAGGCCCCAGCCCACGTGGCGCTGTGTTCCAAGGGTCCATTCTGTGTGTGTGTACCTGTGTGTATGTGTACACTTTTGGATACTCACAACATCTGCACTCACCACAATAGCACCAGGAAAAAAACCTTCGAGTGTGAGAGGGTCTGGCAGTTCAAACCCATGCCTACTGTAAATAATAGGCGGATTGTCAACAGAGTGGGAAGCTGGTGCCCCTAGCCCCCCGAGTTGCTCGCCGGTCGGCTGTCTGTGTACTTGGACTGCGCAGCTGCTGTATACATAGACTCAGATTTCTTACCATCAGCCTGCTTTGTCCTCTCTACTGCACTGAATAGCTCTTCACACAAAAGGCTCTTTCTTCCTTTCTCACCGTAATTGTGCCTCCCCAGCCCAGTCAGCCTGAGTCATGGGAACCAACTTTGAAGACTCTGTCACTAACTGACTTCCCTGCGCTTGCCTGAGCAGTGGGATCCAAGCCCCTCAAAGAGCCAGTGGCGCCTTCAAACTGGGCTGCGCACACACCAGCCCCAGCGCTGCTGTTTCAGCCCTGTAGGCGCCCCAGCTCCACTCTCTCACACACGTGGGCCTCTTCTCGATGAGTGGATCTGGATAGCTCCGCTGAGCTTGCAATGGGCTGCTCGTCTCCTCGGGCAGTGTGGCCGTGTGGCCCTGGGCTGCAGGGCTCTGTCCCCAAGGACGGCACCGGCATGGGAATGAGAGCAGGCCTAGCCTTTCTCCTCTTGATAGTTGATTAATAGTTGACAGATCCAGACCCAAGTAGTTAGCTCTCCTCGTATTCATCTTTCCACAGGCTTTGCTGCTTTTCTTTGCAAGGCCCATTGTTCTAAAAATACACTCCAGTTGGAAGCTATTCGCCATGCATATGTAGGCTTGATTTCATGGTGTCAGATAAGAGGCATCTGCCCTGCTGGTTACAAACAGCGTTGGCTGCGGCTGGCTTTCAGATCTGAGGGCAGGGACCCCTGTGCCACGTACATGGATGCCGCCAATCCGGTTCAGACTCCCTCCATCTGGTCACATGACTGATAACCTGCCAAGGGAGACTGTTTTACCCCCCCAGAGCACGGGCGCAGGCATGCATGTACTCTGGCGCGAGGGCAGTCGAGCTGTGGCTCCCTGTCTGCACAGAAGGGGCTGGAGTTCTTGAAAGGCTCGGCAGACACCAGGGGAGCCATCTCATTACTTCTGCAGACTCCGGGTCTGTCCCAAACACCGAGCAGGCTAGAATGAACACCATGATCTCGGTCCCCAGAAAA